TACATCGTAAACAAAGTACTTACGTTCAGCACGTTGTGACACTGTGAGTCAAATTAATCTGTCGAAAACAGAATGGCCTCATCAGACTTGTATCTACAACTCCATTCTGGCTGTGGTGGCAGGTGTGACTATCCTACTTTGATACCAGATCATGCTTCACTGTGGCAATCATAGCACTATACACAAATCAGAAGTACAGCTCAGTTTTGTGTGGAACTCCAGGTCTCTTTCAGTCAGGTCTGTTTGACAAATCCCTGTACTCATCCTGCTACTTCTTTGTCCTCTGAGACCATCGTAGCCAACCCATAGCTGAGCAAGGCCAGTTAGGAACAACAACTAGGTGGCCTAATGGAAAGGGAAGTAATATTGCCCCAGCACGTGCGCTTGCTAAAGCTGGAATCAACAAACCAAAGATCAGGTCCCTTAAGCTGCTTTTCTAAGCCAAGAAAAGCTTACATGTTGTCACGTTGGTCAGAACAAGTTTTAAGGCCCTGGGGCAGAGCCTGCGACTATAATGTACTCACTGGGAGGACAGAGAGACCAGTTTTCCTTTATTTAAGGAGCATCAGCACAGCCAGAAAAAGAAACTCAAGCCTATTCATGTTGGACTGCTCATTCAAGCCCAAGGCTGGAAGAAAGTTTTTGAGTTCAAAGAAGGGACGAACAAACCTTCAACAACAAAAGTGGGGTTTTGAAAACTGCAAATCCACTTGAAGTAAAATTCAGTTTCAGGCCAAATATAAATACCACTCTTTAGTAAATTTTTTACAAAGCTCTGAAAAACAGCTAAATTAATAAGAAACTCATAAGCAATCATTCTTATTAGGGGAGTCCAGATATCAATTTTTCTCAAACCAAGCACAAATACTTCAGTTTGGGTACTCAGTGATACCGATTACCAGTGGTGGGCACAGTTCCCCTTAAGCACCAATAGGGGAACTAATTTCCTGATTAGTGCTTTAGGTCTTTTGCTAATTTCTTAATTCATTAGTGGATTAGCACTTGCTAAATTTATGGGCTAAATTTAAAAGAACTAATTGAGTTCTTTATTGATCAACATTATTGTCAACAGCTGAGGGTGAAAGCTGTCAGATGTGTTGTTCATATGTGTGTCACTTATCCACTAGATCAGTGGTTTTCAAACTTTATTTGCTTCCGACCCACAAAATAATAGTTGCAGACCCTCGTGACCCCATATATTACTTGCTTTCATATGCAAACTCTGCTAATAACTCTGTTAAACATGGGAAAAATAACTATAAATAAACCTAGTAACTATGATACTAATTTTTATTCATTTATGATTATTTCAAAAAATTGTAATAATCATGATGAAAATATTCCATTAGCCTTTTTTTGCATTTAAATTGATATCTGGAAATCATCTGGGGACTCTCACTTGATGTTTTGTAACCCACAAAGTGGTCCCAACCCCAACTTTGGGAACCACTACACTAGATGAAATATTAACAATATTCTGCACACAGAAAATATTGTCTCATATTGACTCTGAGGAATGTTCCATGGGATTTTAGTGCTTTGGAATTAGCTTTTGCTAAATCTTTGTGTTAGTGCTTTAGAATTAGGGGACTTAAATATTAAAGTTAGTGCTTTAGGGTTAGGGCAACTAATTTTTAGATTAGTGCTACCCACCACCGCTGATTATTGATACCAAGTACTTACTGTGTTAGAACTTAAACATTAAACAATGAATATCAAAACAGATTTAATTTATTTAGAACCTGGCACTAAATCAGATACATATCTGATGTTTGTCAAAGTGATTTTCTCAGTCTGAAAGGTCATGTCGCATTTCATCCAATTTTTACGTCAGTGAGGTGGGGATATATAGATCGATCGAAGTAATAATGACACAAACCTCAAGTCATGCTGTTTAAATCCTGTAACTCTGCATGTCTTCGACTACAGAACAGAAGTCCAGTTGCTTTGGGTTTTTTATTTTATTTTCCATGTCTGGGATGACTGAGAATTCACAGAAACATCGGATAGTAATGTTGTCAGACTGTGTCAATATTAAAGTTACTGGATTGATCTTTAGTTTTACTTCCAGCATGCCATTGTAACTCCACACATCTTTAGCTACAGAACAGAAATCCAGATAATCTGTCTTTTTTTTTTCTTTGAATTTTCCATGTCCTGGATGACTAAGAATCAACAGAAACATGATAGTAATGTTTCGGACTGTGTCAGTACTAAAGTTATTGGATGAAGATTTTGGTTTTAATTCAAGGACATCACCCTCCTTCCATAAATACAGGGCTGCATCAGAGCAGTCAACCAAAAGGCAGGTTCAAACAGCCGTCCGATAATAATTTAACCAGCTCTGATCACACAACTTCACAATCAACATGTTAACATAGCATCCACGGATAGAGACCTGTTTACTCCTGTAAACAGCAAGCAAAATGTGATGCCACATCATCTTCTGCACATGTGGATCGCATCAACGACATAAAGTATTCACACTGGAGTCTAATGGTGTCCATGCAAAAACTTGCTTTTGGTTCGGTGTATCGGAGCAAATGAGTACTGAAGTAAAAATGTTGGTATTGGGACACCACTAATAAAAAACGGCTTTAAGTTAAACCATGTTGAACTGAAATGCCATAAACAGTCAACATTACATGGTAGGTGGTTGAAAAATCATACACTGAGGCATAAAAACATTTGCCATTAATGTACTCTACATGAGATGAAGATAAATCAACATCTTGGTCTTGGGAATTTATTATCAACATGTTTAAGATGCAAAGGGTTTTAGGATCAAAGCATTAGGAATGTGAGCTTGCAAGTTATTTCTTGACAAACTCAAGTGTAAAACAGCATAAAGTTGTAGTGGCATGGAAGTTAAAAATGGTTGTTAGAAGTTACATGATCAAAGTCACTACATTATCTGGTCCCTCTGCTCAGGCTAAGTATCTGGTATGTTTTTTTTCCTACTTTCTGTGCCTTTCATCCACCTCCTGAGGTCTCGGTTGTCTTGATGAAGTCTACACTTTACAGAGGTTATCAACACCCATGGTAGCCATGCAATGCAAAAACGTCTCGTTTGCAGCAGATACATAGGGTTGATAAGTGCAGGATAAAAGGCTGCCATCAGGGTTTCAGATGGAACAAAAGCTGCTGCTGTAATTGTAGGATCATAGTATAAGCCTGACACACTTGAGTGAACAGCGATGCCTGATACACATAACTTAAAGTCGGGCACGTGCTGTAGGGGAATTGGATTAGCTGCTGGCAAAGAAGGGGGATTATAAATGATACTGACTTTATAGATGGATTACCATTGCCATTTTTTACCTCTTTTGTTTTGCCTGTGGAAATTTGTATTACAAAGAAACAACAGCTCGTTGAATCAAGATCAGAATAATAGAAAAAAAGCACATAATATCCGTTTTCAGCCTGCTCTGCTGTAGTTTTAGGATTATCATTTATGTGGTAAAAACAAACCACTGAATTAACATTGATGAATGCAAACCTAATGGGAAGCAGTCTCTTTACAAATTCCACTGAATCAATTACACAATAGACCATTATGTAATCGCTTTTCAAATTAATCATAATCTACTAATAACCCTGCAGCAGTCTTAATTCCATGATATACCACCACTGACAACCGCTTCACACTGATCCTTTTTGTTCTATTCTTCCATTTACAGGCTTTACTCCAGTCGGCTCTGATTGGCAGACGTGGCTATATGCCATAAATGGTCATAGTAACAGGCCGTACGTAGATAAGCAGCAAGAATGTGGAGGGTGTCTCTAAATACGATGTCCACACAGTGTTGTAGGATTACACAAATGAGTTGGCACTAATTTTGATATATATTTGTGTGGGTGGAACACTGAAAAATTCAGCCCTGGCTCTGTGTTGCAATTTGCCGAAGCCAGTCATTTGGATGGCTGGTTATGCATATGAGCACCAAAATGACACATCAACTCGGGTCTATATTTAACTCACTGGATTTCCTTCCAATGTTCCCATCCTTTCACAGGAAGCTGCCAGGGAGCATGGTGAGAAAAGCAGGCTGAGGTGATATGTAATTACACTGAATTGATCCAGCCTCCTACATCCCTTCATCGTACCCACACACTCCAAGATAATGAAATGGAAGGAGAGCGGTTTTTCTGTTTACAATAAATCCTTAAAGGCCAGACATTTTTATCTAGTGTGTCAAAGGAAACCCTTTACAGTTTGACTCTTGAAGCCTGTGACATCAGAGCACAAACGGCAGCAAACACCCAACGTGGGTGGCAATCTCAATCTGATAAAGACCTGCTCTCGTTCTCTTCAGAAAATGGCATGGTTAAAAATTATAAATCTATCGCTCTGAACACTCCACTTCTTACAGTGTTGACGGATACCATCTGAAATGTTGAGATATGATGTGTGCTTGGAAACCACCATAAGGACATTTTTACAGATATAGGGTTATCTCAGTAGTCACTACTACATGCCTTTGCCAACCTAAAAAAAAAACATTTCTGTGTCAAGATAAGAACTTGCTTTATAATTTTTAGTTTTAGCATTATTTGTGTGTGTGTCTTTAAAATTTTAAGTTTTACTCAGAAACCAAGACAAAAGCTTATATATATATATATATATACTGTATGTATGTATGTATAAAGACAGACTACAGAATGCAGAGAATACACTTACTAGGCCATGTGGCAACAGATATTTAGTTGAATACATGAAGAAAAAGATGACATTTGTGTCACATGGTCCACACAACATTGCAAAAACAATAACAGGAACAACAGACTGTATGAGGGAAGGGAGTGCAGTCCTGGACATTATTTGCTGTACTTCTAGTTTTAAAGGCCTGTTGAAGAGGAAGTCTTTAGCTAAGGAATGACAAAAAGCCTGCTTTAACAAAATGAAAGTAAAACTGACTGATCTTGTTTCCATATGAGGGTAGGGTGTGTATGTGTCTACAGGCTGTGCAGGGACAGAAATGTAAAATGTAAAAACTCACCTGTTCTTTTCCAGTTCATTATGTGTTGACCTGCAACAGGAGAAAACAGAGACAGTCAGATGATTCCAGAGTTCACTGCAACACACACGTCAGGCTAAATTCAGACCTATTGCATTGAGTCAAACAGTAAAAGCACAAGTTTCTTTTGTAATATCTGTACTATTAAGAATAAGTATATTGACTGGCCAAACAGGCTCAGATTTACACAATACAGACCAGTAAAGAAAGCAGTAAATCCAGCACTCTGAGGACTTTATGTCAACAAATGTTAAAATGACATCCAGGAATGAAGGATGGCATGACACAGCCTCTTCCTCAATAATACACAACACAACTCTAAGATGATGTCGGTGTGACACTGAAGGCACTTATGCCCTCACCGAGTACAGTATAAAGTCTACAGTATGTGTGTGCATGTGCTGCTGGACAACATGCACACACATACACACAAGTAGGCAGAGTTCAGTGTTCTGTTAATAATGTAAAGTGAATCAGCTGGTCCTTGAGAGTATCTTTGTATGGCAACAAACTGAAGAGAGACAAGTCCTCCTCGTGACTCTTAAATGGCCCGAGTTCCTTTCAACAGAAACTGCACTTGGCCATGTCTGAGTACAGGAACCCTGGTTGTGAATAGAGATGGGTACCTTTGGCATTTGAATCGATTCGGTACAAATATCTGGTACCTGGGAATTGGTACCAGTACTTAACGGTACCTATTTTCGGTACTTTGTGTGTGTGTGTGTGTGTTTTCTAAATAATAAAATTTTTAACATATTTCTCAATATGTTAAATTAACAAATATCAAGACAACATCCAACTCTTTGTATTGTAACATCAGTTGTGTAACTTACGTCTTTAAGGTGAAAACTGTTGAAAACAACAAGACTGTTTTGTCTTGTTGCACAAATTAAAATCCAGCTCCACGTGTTTCTATTGATGTCATTTACCCGCTAGAAAACTTGTGTGATGGAGGTCCATGGAAGGCAAATACGTTCAAATCAAATAAGCAAAAGAAAATTGAGTTAAAATAAATAAAAGGTACTCAAGCTACGTTATGAGCATCCAAAACGTGTCCAACGCTACGAGTTGGCTGCTTGTGCTCTTTCAGGTCAGACGCGTTCTGAGTAAGTGCCTCTGTTGTTTTCCTCTGCTGGTCTCTGTTTATGGTAGATGAAGTAAAGAAAGTTGCAGTACTTTATTTACTTTGAGCAAGCGAACATCATGTTCACAAGATAATTAATTCACCAGATAATTCAGAGGCGGTCTGCTCGGTGAGTTTAGGAGCTGCGAGGCTCACTTTCATGCTACGTTCAGACCGAGCTCTGTTTACTGAACAAGCGGCTGCTGACATCATTACGCTCTTGCGTGATGCTGCGTTCAGAACAAGCATGGAAAACTCACCACTCTTATTCTAATACGGTCGCAATGATGCGTTTAGGTACCGAAACATGGTACATTTGGTGTTACGTCGGTAGTACCGACAGAATTCGGTCTGTACTTTAAAAAGTGTCGAATTCGGTACCCATCCCTTGTCATGAATGCAATCATGACTAGGGATGAGTTTTTTATGACAGTATAGCATTATAACTAGCCTGGTTAAAACCAGACCCTTGTCCTTCACTTTGCTTCAGACAGAGGGTCTGGACTCTGCTATTGAGAAGCGATTCCTGCTGGAGGCGTGGCCTCTGCTGAAGTATGTGTATGTCGCTGTGAAGGAGGCTAAGCTAAGAAGCTAACCGGAAATCGCGTGAGCTGTAAACAACCCTACTGAGAGGAGAAATATACCGAGCCGAACGAGACGAYTGTAAATGAGAGCTGCTGCTTTGTCAGACAAATTTATTTTAATTTGGAAGCCTTATCAACACAGACTGGCTTCATTCACTTCCTCCACTGTCTTATGCTAAACTAACTAGAAGACACTGCACAGAAAATCGATGTCGTTCAAAACTCCTTCTGTTTGCTGATTGGCCCAGGTAAAATAAACTACAAGCAGACACTGCTCAGAAAATCAACGTTCTCTTCTCTGATTGGTTCGGCTAAAAATCTGCCAGCGAAACCTTTGTCTATGGGAGAAGTCCCAGACGAAGCAGTGAAGGGAAACTAGAATTGAGCAGAACTGCGTAGGAAGACAAGGGCCAGGCTACCTAAACACAGATTGAAAACCTTTTATTTGGGGGAAAATTAGCTCGGGCAATGTGTAGAAACAAGATAAAAAGAGCAGCAGGAAAATAAAAAGCAGTCAAGAGCAAGTTTAGTTTGTCCTAAGAGCTCATTGTTATAATTTGTTAATAATATTAATAAAAGTACCATACATCAAAAACCAAGGCCTTGCCAATATTGTGGTTCGATGTGTAAGACTGCACGTCTAGGAATGAGTTACAGAGGACATCTACAGCCAAGCTGAGTTGCTGCCATGACAGCTAAAAACACGACTCACACACCAACAGGCACAGGCCATTTCCTGAAACTCAGTGAGTTTAAATGCTCACATGTGTCTTTTTGACAGGTTTCAACATATTTACTCTGCATCCTTGTAATACTCTTGTAAGCCTGTACACTGCACTCCACTTACATACACTAAACAAAGAGATCAATTTTTAAACCAGCGTTTCTTCTGCTTGGCAACTGAAGTCACTCCAAAAACTGAACGGACACTTCCAAAAATCTGTCATTTATTCGGAAAATGAAAATTTCCAGTCTGTGTTCACGCACACACTTCTTGTGCACATATAATTATATTTTAATAGTCCAGTGAAGAAGTCTGCATCTGTTTGTGAATCAGAACAAGTGTTTCGTCAAACAGAAGATGAATGCATGCATAATTTGCATAATTTGCGTCAATAGCTGTCACATAGCCTGCACTGCATCTGTGTTGCTTAGTAACCCACATCCCACTTTGGACTCAGATCCAAATCACTTTTCACAAAAAAAGTGTTGCGTTTTCAATATTACGCTTAAAGAATAAAAAAAGAGAGAGCTAACTTAACTGTGGCTGCACTTACTGGATGTCAAGCAATGTTCTAAATGCTTAACAAAAAGTTGCATGAGGCCAGAATTATTTTTGAAGACAAGAAATAACTTTAACATTGATATCTAATTTATACATTTAAGTATGTAGTCATTTTACTGTGCAACAAGGCAGTTCAGCCTTGATTCAAACCCCTACAGATCAAGTAAAAGCAACATGAAGACACTCTTTGCATAGACTCTCATTCTAAACAAATCATTCTACGATAAATTACTTCCTCAAAAACTCTTCTGATCATTTCTCTGCCCCCTAAATCAGATATCTGCTTGTTTAGAACATGTCAACAAAGCAATATAGATACTGAACTGGCTCAAGGCCAGACGTAACAGCATCAAGCCTCTGCCTGTAGCTATGCAATCGTACGTGTGTGTGTGCACACGCGCAGAGAGACTGGGTCAACCAGATAAAGCATCCCTGCTATAAACGGTAGTTAGGAGAGGACAGAGTCAGATAAGCCCATGGCTTTAAGCCTCAACACGCCACTGAGAAGACAGCTGGAGCTGAAGCAAGATAGCGACAGAGAACCGAGTGTGTTTATCTAATTGTAGCTTTCATGTAAATATTACCAAGGATATAAACTCAAAGACTGCTAAACATAAATTTGAAAAGTGAGAACTAGACAAGTACAATTGACTGACAGCAGCCACCATATTGGATCTAGCCTGAAATTGTGCTTTTTTTCCTGAATAAGCTGACCTTTGTTGCAATTTATGATATAACGTGAATGCCAGGACGATGAGTATCACAGCAGATTTTGAAACGAGACAATGTAATCAGTGTGGCACTTAATCTGTCAGTGGTCATAATTGGCTTAATAATTGTACAAAATACTTAAATTAAAGTGAAAAAAAAGAATAAATAAACCTAAGTCTAGCATTTTTTAAAAGAATGCACATCACCTGCTACCTTTCATACCGGTGTTTTAGTTTCATCCTATGTCAAGAAACGATGGAGTTTCAGCTGTTTTGGTCAAACCTTCAAAATAATTTGAATATTCTCGTGATATTTTAAGATATGCTCAGAGTATATGTTGTGGATTAGTTTCAGCTACTACCATATCAATTTTCAGTTCAATGTATGCACATTTCACTGAATTGTAGCCATGTTTTTGTTTTCAAATGTAAGTTCCTGAGGGAGTTACCTTCAATTGAGACCTTCACTCGTGGCCTTACGCATATGATTTTAATATATTATCTTCTGCGCTCGCAAATGATGGTAAAATATGTTTTAATACAGCAACAGATAAAGACATTTCTAGAGCAAATTTCGACACATCAGACTTCAGGAATCATTTGAAAGGTGAGCTCGAGGGTCGTGGTCTTCGACAGACTTAGAAAGCGAGTGGAATTGTTAAAAAGGTTGGGGTTTTTACTGTCTTACTTAGCTTAGCTTGCTGCATCTATTACGTGTGTTTTTTATCACTGGAGCCACATTGTTTAAAGAAACATAATGGTTAGAATTTGTGTAAGTATATTATTATCACTATATGCTGGACTGACTGTAGTAGAGTAGGGAATGGAGCGCTGTATGAGCGAGGCCAACATAGATGCTTGGAGTAAAGCCAGCCGAAGCAGGAGGCTACAGTAAAAACAATAAGATTTACTGTACCTGTTTCTGGACAGAAGGTGCAGAGATAGGACCGGGTGGCCCAGTGTTGGCCTTTTACCTCTAATTAAATCTTTGGAGTATATATTAAGTCCATGATTTTTTCTGGTCAAATTTAAATGGTCTCATTGCTGGAACCCAGCTGTTAAGTCTACATCTTAGCTTGGAAATAGTGACAAAAACACTTGTTCCATGTGGCAATGATGGCTGTATCCTGAGTCACTGTTACGAGTACTGTAGCACAATGTCTTGTGGTCCTCCCGGTGGACTTTGATGCTGTCTTCCCGAATTTATTTAAGTTTAAACACAGCTAAACTGGTGTAGCTCCACTGAAATCAATAATAGAGTGGCTACGAGAGTTTGTACATGCATGTGTCGAGCGGACAAAGTCACGTGA